AGGTGATTTTTTTCTGCCCATATGTTTACTTGTTTATGTACATCCTGGGTTCTTTCCTGTAGGGTCGTTACATCAATTTCCTTCACTATGAAATTTGTGTCATCTGCATACGCTACTGTGTGAATAGTTGACAATCCTTGAAAATATTTCATCAGGTCATTTGCATATATCAAAAATAGTATAGGTCCAAGGATTGATCCCTGTGGGACACCCTGCCTAATGGTTGCCAACTGACTGAGAGTGTTTCCAACACTGACACGTTGCCCTCTATTTTCCAGGTAGGATTTCATTAAATCTAGGGCAACTCCTCTTACACCATATCTTTCCAATTTCCCTAATAGCAGGTCATGATTAACGCAATCGAAAGCTCTGGAGAAGTCTATGAACAATCCGCAAATATGGAATTTACCATCAAGTGCATTAATAGTCCTCCCTGTCAACTTTCTAACTAAACAAGATATCAAGGTCGAACAAAAGTTGACTGAAAAGGTTTCCTTTTCAACAATTTTTGATAGGAAAAACAAAATTATTCCATAACTGTCTGCCGAGAGGGGGCTCCCAACTGGGGGTCTTGTGATGGCTCGTTTGATAGGTATTTCAATTCTCTGTCCAATTTTTCATTTCCAAAAATCAAGTCAGCCGTTCCTGGGTAATTAGCGGTTTTATATTATGAATTAGGTAGATTTTCAAACAGCATGACCTGCCGTCATGCTGTTTGTATTCTTGAAGTTCTTAGAATGGAAATCCATATTTGATTGAGATTCACAGCTTCTTCTCTTCTGTTGAAACTTTCCGTATGTTTGTGTCTCTATTGCCTTCCGTTTCTGTCGGCTATGGTATCCCTGGTTGAAGGAAATGAGTTTCGTATTTTCAAACAGAATCCTGTGCTTTCCTCCACCGAGTGTCTGCTCCGCCACAGCTGACTTGTCTGTTTGGCCCCGTTTATAATCTTTTTCATGCTCCTTCAGCCTAGTGTCCATGGATCTTTTGGTGATTCCCATGTATACCTTCCCAAAAGTGCAAAATATGCGATAATCGTCTGCTGCTTGCACATTACGGGCAATAGTTAGTTTTCTATCGAAAGGCAATTTTGAGAAACTTTTATTTCATTACAATGTTGAAGACCAGTACCTTCAAACTCATAATGTCATTACATGAAATCATATTATTTTCACACACATAAAAAATGGAGTAATTTGAAAAGGAAACTATCATCATTGGAGAGAAAAATAAAAAAACAGGTCCCAAATGTAAACCTTGAGGTACTTCCAAAGTGATTGACTAAGGTGAAGATTTCTAACTGATGACTGATAGAGTCATTTTCTCTCTCTCTCTCTCTCTCTCTTCTTTATTGGCCGATGCTTCCTGTTCAGGCGCAATTGGGGCTAGCTCAATACGGGGGGTTGTCCTTGTCTGGGTTAGCACTCAGTAACAACCCTTATATTTTAATTCTGAATCATGCTGTCGTCTTCTTAGTGTTTGTTCGTCTACTTCTTCTCGTGCTATGAGAATGTTAGGGATTGACAAGGATACACAAACAAAATGTTCTGGGATATATGATGGAGTTTAAGTATAGGAATTTAGTTTATTAAAGGTTTATAGTTTGATTTTATTGTAATCTAAAAATTGGATAAGAATCTTTGTGATTTGTATATTTAGATTACGAAAAACTTGAAATATGTTAAAGTTGGAATTAATACCATGTTTAATAAGTTCAAAATAAATATCTCTGTTAGGGATAACATTGATAGGGCATTCCAGGAAATAATGGTTTACGTTTTCTACTAGACCGCATTCACAGTATGGGTGATCAACTATTCCTAACTTGTACTGATGTTCTTTAGTATGACAGTGACCGGTTTTCATCCGTATTATGGTGGTGATGTGTCTCCTATCTATGTACGGTAGGGATAATATTGCTATTTTACTGGGGTATTTTTCATGGACTTTGTTATAGGATTTACCTGTTTTTATAATGTCATTTTCCCATAGCGACTTAAAGTTTTTTATGATATTATTTTTTAAAATCGAGTATATTGTGTTGTTGTCTATTTTGATTTTTAATGGGATGTTCAAGTTGGTTCCTATTTTTGCTAAGCAATCTGCTCTCTCATTCCCTATGATGTCTGACTGTCCAGGTATCCATGCAAATTTGAAAATGATATTGTTTAAGAGGCGTGATATGCCATATTCCTGATCGAAAGACTAATGTGGTCGATTTTGGACGTGAACTTTTTCAGCAAGATTTTTTCTAATGCACTTTTGGAGTCCGTAAGTATTGAATTTTTTTTTTAATTTTTTCTTAAACATGTCATCATACCTTCGTGGATAGCTATTAATGATAGAGTCATTTTATGTTCGCACTGCATTTAACCTCTTATGACATCAAGACTTTCATTGCCATTGATAAACGTGCTTGGCATAAAAAAATATATTTCTCCATCCATAGACATTACTATCAACGTTGTTGATGGAACGTGTATTAAGAAAAACAGTTTATCAATTATTGAATACCGTTAAAGTGATATATTTCACGACAGAGAATGTTTATACATACACGTTATCTTTGAAAAAATATTTTTATCCCTGTGATATATTTTTTTATTTTGATATTCTTTAAAAAAATATCAACTTCACAGTGGAATATAATATATTCTTTCTCGTCTGAAATACGGTACCAAATTGAGTTGTGTTGATTATTGAATTCAAACTATGTGCAAATTATTATTCACAAGGACAACCGTAATTTATGTTAACCTCAAACTACGAAAACGTGATTCCCGAATGAATACTTTCCAATACGTTGTGCATTGAAAAAACTCAACTTTTTGTGATACTTCCAACAATTTGTCTCCACTCACCTATAAACCACAACACTAACATCCTTCTAGGCAAATCACTGCTCTGAACTGAACATCAAATAAACTTGATAAATCGTATGGTGACCCCTGTCTTATAACTTGTTTGGTCAGTTCCAATATCTCAACTAAAACACAATATATGAGGAATATTTTTCCCATTAACTCATCATCATACCGGCAATCGCAAGGATTCAATAACATTTTCGATAGTAGTATTTTTCAAATTACCGGCTGTGGAGTAATTGCATCAGAAGGAAATTCCCACAATTAGACAGGTCCGGATTCAGGCAAGGCGGATTTGATAATATTATTTGCGTAATAGTATTTGGTGAGTCGGTCCTTATTCTAGGGAAAACATGGAAATTTCAGCTTGTCTGAGGCATGAAATGGTAAATTGAAAAAATCTTCATGGAACTCTTTGTTTTGAATGACTATCGAAAACATAAGAAAAATCATCATCTCATTTCATCTGTCATTTTGAACGTAACTCCCAAAATTAGTTCCATGTTTGTCACTTATGTAGTGTTTCATTGAAGAGAAGATTGAATCGACAAGTTGTATTTATTTATAGTAATAAATAAACATGTAGAAACGTTTTTCTATGCATGAATACATAGAAATTTTGGAACATGTGGAAGGGCACATATCGAATATGTGCACGGACCACATAACACCACCTTTAACACAAACTTCACGGCTAAAATCATAAGCCGTGAAGAGTGAAAGACCATTAATCATCCCGAAAACATGTTTGGTAAAAACACCTGGTATACAGATAGATCGAAGACCAAACATGGAACGGGAGCTGGAATATACCGAGCGGATAGAAATTTGAAACTACAGTTATCCGCTAGGACTATACACATCCGTCTTCCAGGAGGAGTATATGCTATCTTGCAGTGTGCAAGGCTTATTAAATTGAGACCTCAAAGAAATGAGCGGATCAGCAAGAGCGCACTAAGGGCTCTGACAAACCCGAAGGTGACATCAAAACTGGTCTGGGAATGCCAGACTGAATGAACTTGCAAAAAGGAACAAATTAACTTTGTACTGGGTGCCAGGGCTAATGAATGCGCTAGACACGGATTATCAACTTCATATATAGGTCCTGAACCAGCTCTGGGGGTACCAAAATCATTAGTACGAAACCAGATTAGAACATGGACCAATAAGAAGCACACAGAGTACTGGACAAAAGTACCTGGCAACAAACACAGTAGAACCTTCATTAGGTAACCGTCCGAGAAAAGAACCAAAGAACTACTTCGATATAGTAGGGATCGACTCAGAATGAGGGTTACTAACCGGTTATTGTCCGCTTAGAGGACACCTGAATAAAATGGGGCTGAACAACGAAGACCTCAGCTGCAGATTATGCAATGAAGGGATAGAAACAGCTCTACACATCTTATGCGAATGTGAGGCACTGAATCACAGGAAGCAGGCAATATATGGACGTACATAATTACGTCCAGAAGAATATGACGAACATCCAAGATGGAACCTGTACAAACTAGTACAGGGAACGAGACTCATGAGTGTCATGAGAAGATGGGAGAATGAACGCAATAAGCCCAAGAGGCTGCAGTAATTTCTGGAGACTTGGACTAAATGGACAAGTCAGACAGCTTCCAAGGGACCAAAAAAAAAACAGTAGAAAATGATTTATTTCAGGACTCTCTTTGATTTGAATGACTATCGAAAATATAAGAAAAACTATGATATTATTTCATCTGTTATTTCAAACGTATCTCCCAAAATTAGTTCCATTGTCACTTGTGTAGTGTTTCATTGAAGAGAAGACTGAATCAACAAGTTGTATTTATTTACAGTAATAAATAAACATGTAGGTACGTTTTCCTATGCATGAATGAACACTATATGGCTATCGAAAAAATTGAAAAAGCAACTTTCATTTTTATCATTCAAATCGTACTTGAAACAATTGGCTCCATATCTATCATTTATGTGACGTGTTCAATTTGAAAAGGAGTTGATTTGACAACTCGTATTCATTTACGATAATAAATAAACATGTACGTTTCTCTATGGGCAATTTTTGATGATATATCGTTACTGAACATGAAATTTCTCTTTCAGGCATACATAAGTGACTTTATGAATGTGATTGTACGTTACTGACATTTACCAGCCAAAAGCTAAACTGAATTATCATTAAAATGAAATAAAAATTTGATAAATTCCAGTAGACAGTTATCAGGAAACTGATAACTGTAGACAAAATCTTTTCTGTTATTTCCCGTCAAAATCATTCATGTCAATCACTCAAATCGTGGGGCACCAATTTTTCGAGCATTTTGACCTCTACAATACGTTTTTAACCATCCCGCATGGGAGCTAACTTCCAGTTTTTTGCTATCTCCGCACCAATTGTGATGGGTCAGTCTCCACCAAGGTTCCCAAATCCTCGTTATGGATTACTGTAGGTCGACCACTAACACTGTCCTTAAAAAGTGCCTGACTCAATTCTCGGGCTATTTCAGCAGCGCTAAAATTTGGAAACAAATGAATAGCCCCAACGTATAGAGTACAAAGGAGTTTGCAGTATGCAAATTCAATCATTTAATTATCAATGTAAAACTTCCAGAATACTCCAAAGGATCGAATGAAGATATCTAACATGTCAAAAGATTTGTCTCACTCAGTAAACTGAAAGCACTTCACTGGTTTATTCTATTAATCGCTTGTCAGGTTACTCTTTATTGACTCTTTCTCATTTTTCGAGTTTTCTTCTCAAAAACCTCCCCCAAACTGTTTTCGCTTCAGTTTTCAACATGATAATCCAATTCTGACCTGTCTTCCATCTCCGTTATCGTCACCACAATACTCAATAACATGTTAATGCGTGTACAGAGTGCTACTCTTTGTCCCCGTTAGATTTTATTTTCAGTGGAATTGAATCATTCTGAAATTAAAATTTATGTAGGTCGGCGATAAAAGTGAAATAATTGTATTATATATTTGTTTGTTTGTAGAGGACAACGACAGCGAAAGGCCGGTGAGGTTATTACGAATGAAGCAATAGAGGATGTGAATGTACAGTGCGATGAGCCTGACAGAACACTCAGCATCCGATATCTATGATGAATTCAAAAGGTAGAACAGAGTAGCATAAATTCAAGTTCTCTTCACCTTTTGGAATTGGCCGACACTTAAATATTCATAATGTATTCAAGTAACGCTGTATTTTTTGATACATATGTTTCACTTTATACTTGCTTCCTCAGGCATGTTCATACAGTTGCAGTGTTACTCGAATATGCCTATTCGGTTGGCTCAACCATGTCGCTGGAATTGCAAAGGTTGCTTCTCAAAAGATTGCTTTGGTGATTCCACCAAAAGCGGTACATATCAGAAATACGCGACGGAGTGTCACTGCTCATTGTTTTGAGGTGCCAGTGACATCTCATTATAAGACGTTCCATCAAGAATATTGGTGGTTTTTCTATTTCACCCGAGAAAATGTTCAGAATTCCTCAACGAAGGCTTGATCGACCTTTTCACTTTTTTCCCAGCAGGTGATCAGGTAATCAACTTACCATCATTGGAAATTTCACTTCATGTGGCTATTCGAAAGTCCGCAGAAAGAATTCGTTTTAAAAAAGCAGTTTTGATAACGTCAACATCGTTCAATTTCCTTGTGATCTTGTAGCTCTCATCAAGGTGACGGTAATTTCTTTCACCAGTTAGGTGAAGGGAGTTCACAATCATAAGTGAAGTTTTTTTCACGCCTAAATGATTTCAGAGTTATCAAAGGTGCTTGACTCCGATGGAATTTTGATCCTTACGCCACCAGTACCATTTTTAAGACCTTCCTGAGCACTGTCACTTTTATGACAACCTTTTGAGCCACCAGTGAATCAACCAAGAGAGACTAAGAGGCTCAGGTGTTGCATGTTTAGCGACTATTTATGACCACCTTATACTTCATCTTGAAATGGTCGAGTACAACGTCTTTAGGTGAGATCCAGAATCTTCATAAGTCTACATACAGATTCAGCATTACATCTAGTGTATCGGTGATTGCTGATATGAGTAGATAATTTTTAGTTCCAAACTACATGTCTTTTCGAATATTCCAAGACATCCTAAAGTGCCAGTTCATCACTTCATCTTCAAAGGGGATATTCCTCTGGTGATTACAGTGTCCGTCAAACTTAATCACTTTTCTGTTTTTTTTCTTCGAGGACGAAACACAAGCACTACAGGAAAATTCTTGAGACGCTCTGTGCGAAAGAAGAGATTCACGTTGGATTTGAAGTGTACGGAGTTGAACCTCAACACAATGTGCAGTCACAGTCCGTCGCGTTTTTCTGATATGTACCGCTCTTGGTAGAATCAAATGTGGCAAGTCACTTGAACACCTCCAGTGAAAAAATTGATAAACGAGTAACATACCTTCAACCTTTCTTCGATATTTCAAGGTTGCAAATGATGTTCGTGTCTCCACTCAGGCGAATGGCCGTTTTCTGTATGGAATCCAGCAGCTTCAAGGTATGCTTAGGCGCGGAGCTCCATACATGAGAACAACACTCCAAAGAAAATCTGATCTGAGCTCTATGCTGAGTGCTGAGGTGTGTATAGTTTTCTGGTTCGAAACAGTTTTCGAAGCTTTTGAGAAGCAGCCTTTGCAATTCTAGTGACATGATTGTGCCAAGACATATTGGTTTATATTTTAACCCCTTCAGAACCCTTTTAGAAAAAATCGATGCCTGGGTTTTCGTAGCATTGAATTGAACCTGGCTTTCACACCAATTTGAAATCGCCTCTACATCCTCATTTAGATATGCAACCTCCTGCTGCCGGTAAAGATGTGCATCCACAGTCGATGTCCTGGAATCCAAATGGAATAACGAGACAAGTGTGCTGTCGTTGATGGCGCTAAGCTTCATTTCATGTAAGAGCTTTTGGGTACATATTTCCATCTCTTGTTGAATAGAGATACCACTGTTGACAATAAACACTTCTCTTGCCCACTAACTTTGGATAAAACTCAAAATCATTTGCGTGAGCCCTGAGACGACCTCACCATGGTTAATGGTGAAAATTGTGATGTCATGTTTGCTTGTCTTTGATATCAGATCATAGACAAACAGACGAGAAGGGGCATAGTGCCACATTTTGAGAACATAATTTTTCCATGGTGATTTGAAATGCCTACTCTACGAAAGTGTGCTTCTGACCATTGTCTGTATCTATCTGATCACTGAGGCATGTATATATATATTTCGGTCCTTCATGGAT